TATCTAGAGCAAGCGGATTACCACCGGGGACAAAGGCTCTCCACCACCGCAGCGATGAGCCACACAGCACCGCTGCATGCTAATCTGGCCCCTATTGAAAAGAGGTCAGCACTGCACTGAGCCAGGTTCGTGAACAAAAGACAGTTGTATAACACCGCACAATCTGGGCTCTGTTTAGAAGGCTGCAGGCCTGGCTGAAATATTCGGGCGTCAATGAAGGTCACCTGTCAACTTAGAGTAGTGCCTGAAGATTACTCCGTGTGGCTATAAATGACTGTTAAATGGAATGATGAATTATTGAAGGATTTTGAAAACGAAAAAAATGAAAGTCATGCCAGCCCAGCATTCTCAACGTTGAAAAATGCCCCGGCACAAAGTGGTTAATAGATTAATGATTTCGAAAAGATGTTAACAACTTTTACCATGAGTCTTAAAATTCTCATTTCCAAACTCATTTACAGGTAGATGAATCTGCCAAACAGAGTTGTTGCCGATCTTTTCCTGTTCATTCTAAACTAATCCAAGGACCAGTATCATTACTGCAGTGGCACATTGACACAACATTACATATGCACTTTGAATGTCTCTTCATTTAACAAGGTGTGAAATTTCTGCAAAGCTTGCACTCTCCAAGCTTAGAAATGTGTATTACATGCATGTGAATGTAGTGCCACAGCAGTAATGGCCTCTTTTTGGACACAGAGCAATCACTTTTCAATTATCAAACTCACCAGTGCTCTTGAGCGGTTGAAAGGAAGCCTTGTATTTTCTCAGTAGTGGACCTGTTTGCCGGAAGTTCATAGTTATCTGACGATGGCTGAGTCAAACCTAGTCAAAATAGATTTTTCAGTCAGTTCAAACATACTGACCTACATGTACATGTTATGTATACATTCTGGGAAAAATAAATTTTGGGGTTCCCTATTTGGCACATTTCAACATTTTCATCAAGTGTCCTCATGCAATGTTGTCAAATCTCTCTGTAGAAAAACTTCAAAACCATTCAGTTAAATATTGGTAGTATTAACTTCATTATACACACTGGTAAAGCTTTGAGAACAAGCTCAGTGTCATGAAATTAAGTCTAAAAATCAAAACTTTGGCATCCAGAAGTTGGGCATAAAATTCAGTTGAGTGTTGCTAAGCATGGTGTACTTGAACAAATCTCAGAAATCCCATGAGTAAACATTTCAGAAATTCTGAAAGTTGAAATTGTAACTAAAATTTTTAAGCAAAGTATTTTCTTATTTTGGGGGCATTTTAAAAGAGTTCATCATGGAAGTCTAAAAGAACCAAAATAATTAGAAAATCCGGCCAAAATTGTTGGAACTATGTTACAGGTATGGAAACTCAAGATTTATGAATGAAAATTTTGAGAGCTTGATGAAAAAGTATACAATGTCAGGGGCTGCACTACTTTTAAGGTAGACCAAGGGAATATAATGGCATACCATGATGATGTTTCCCATAAAAAGATACAGGCCTTACAAAGGCTTGAATCAGAGAAAATCTGAAAAAAAATCTGAAACCTGTGTAACAGAGACAACTGGAGGGCTTTTGGGGAATGTTTTAAAGTCAAAGTTCAAAATGGTGATTTGTGAGTGGGTTTTATACAAAAATCTACAACCAGCCAACCCACACAAATAGGAAATGACTTGCATGTCTGCTGATCCATCGAACCGATGGGAGATTCCATAGTTACACCAAAAGAATGCAATTTGTTTTAGAGACTTTGTACAATTATTTACTGATTCTCTTTGATACAAAGTGAAAAAACAATTATTTTATCCCACAGTCTGACATCAGCTAAAATTTGTGATTTTGTTGCTTACACCTGTGTGTTGATACCCACTGATAAGTGCATGAAATTGTGGTTACTGTGCATCCTTATAATGCTCAGTTTCCCAGATGCAAGTTGTTTTTCACATCCTTGGCTGTTCTACCATTGTTGGCGTACATATGACTTCGTTTTCTGCTCTTTTTTAGAGCTCGTTCTTGGACTCAGCGCTCAAAATCTTAGGTAAGACACCAAAAATGTTTTGACTATTGACGAACGTGCATACACAAGGAATGCATCTTTTGTTTTTGTAATTTCCTGCTTGGTCATGACTATAAAGCTGGCATCATGTAAGTATTCCCCCCCCAATTCCTTTTTATACAGTGAGTGCACAACGGAGAACTCTCAATGTAATGAAACATATCCAACGAAAGGACAGATCAACCTGCACTATGTCCATGCTGTTGGGATACCAGCAGTCCAGGGAAAGCAATACTGAATAATTCAACTAGATACTGGGTTTCCATTCACTAATATATTTCACAGAAATATTACATATTCGAAGAACTTAGCTACAACTTATTCCAAGTGCAACACTGCCTGGAAATTTTTCAAGGAACCAAGTAGTACTCTAGTTATTAGCTGAACAAATTATTGGTTCATTTTCTGCTACCCACATCAAAAGCAAGTTCAAACTTCCTATTTTACATCAATGAAAAGGCTTTGAGAGGGATTTCACATCAAAAACCTAGGACACAAAGTAAAAGGAGTTCAATTCAGCAGCAACCATCTTGGCTGTATCGGGTAGTGGATCAGGATCCTGGGCAGTCACCATAGGCGTGGGCTTCAGGTCAAGGCGGATGGCTATCAAAGATAGTGTTTCTGAGTTGGACTGGAACATCATCATGATAGCCACAGGAGTAATGTCCTGGTGGGTTGAGGATTTTGACTTCTAAAGTTTGGACCCGGTGGAAGAAAAGTGTTTGCATTTCTTCTGCATGGTTGATCCAGCCATCAAGTTGGCAGATGCTGCCGCGTGGACAGAGGCAGTGGAATGGTGGGGCTGCGGTTCACGTTCAGCTGAGGAGGGAGTCTGAAGAACCCCTGGGGTAGTTGCCTCAGAGTCGTTCTTCCCAGTGAGCCCCATTTGACAGCCCGACAGTGGGGTGATATATGGTATGCAGAAGCCTTGGGGGTGTAGCAGGCCGATGGATTCTGTTATCTCTGTTGTAGGCTACGTTGTGCCTGCATGGTCCGGCATTGTTTTCAATGGGGCCGCCCCAGGTGTCAGTTGGGGAGTGGCCCGGAAAGGTGTAGTGTCTGATTTATGCCTGGATACCCCACTGAAGGTGGGTCTGAAGGCAGTGTGGCTCATAGCGTGAGGTGGTCAGCGTAGCTCGCATGGGACCATTCCTCTGCAAGCTTTTGTGAGCCATGTCAATGGAGTGCGGTATTCTTTGCTAGGTTCTATTGGAATGCAAACCACCTCAATAGACCTCGTTGCCCCAACAGCAGCTTTAGGGGAGCTGAGCATTCTGACCGCACACACCGCAGCCCAGTACCCTCAGGGTTGCATAGTTTTTGGCTTATGCTGGTTCTGATCAGAAAGAGGCTGGAACAGTTAGCACAGTAATCATGAGTATCAGCTTAGGAACTTACGATCTTACTGAGCATCGATCTTACTGTTGACCAACTCCTGTTGGTCTTGGGGAGGGGGAGGGTTGAGGACCTCTAAATGTGTTTAGCCCTCAACTGTCCTGGGTTGCCCAGTTGACCCTATATAATATCACTAGTTGATATGGCTACATAAAATCAACATCAGCAGCCTGGGAGCTTGTACAACTAAAGAAAGAGAAAAATAGCATGCAAAAATGACAAATAGCATACACATAGAAAGATATTATGAACATATATATGTACAAGGGCTACAGTCTGTTCTTGATATGTTACAATTGATAACGTTACCACAGAAAGGTGGAGCGAGAAGAGAAACTCCTCCCCTACATTAGTGTGGATCGGGTTTTCATAGTTATACTTTACCTTGTCCAGCCTACATATGCAAAGTGGCACTGTACCCTGGAGAAGGGTCGGCGATGGGAGAGTAGTTACTATAGAGAACATAGGCGGGCGTCACCCAAGCGAACACTCATCAGAGAAAGAGGTATCTACAATGAAGAATTCATTGTTCGGAGTGGGATGGTGCAAGATGCTGTCCCAACCGCCGAGCGCAAGGTTGCTGCGCCATGAACTATCTTGCTCCGTAGGACATCCTTCAGATAGCACTCGGTGAAGGTGGAGGGGGATCTCCAGCAAGCCGCCTGGCATATATCCGCCGGGGAGACAACTCTGAAGTATGACTAGGACACGGAGGCGACCCGAAGATCGTGGGCTCTGACGTGAGAACGAATCATCTCGTCTTGCCGAGTAGGCCAGTCCTGGTTCGCAAAGATGATGGCCGACACTGTCCATCAGGCAATAGTGTCCTTTGCCGCTGAATAAAAGGGCTTTGTGGTTGTGATGAAAAATCTGGAACCAGGCTCCAGGCGAGGCTTGGTCCTGGTGAGGTAAAACTGGAGAGTACGAACTGGACACCATTTCTTGTCAGTTCTCTGTATCGGGGACAACTATGTCCGGAGGCTGGAAGGCAGGCATCTGGTTCTTTGTGAGGAAATCGGTGGCTGGGATAAGGCAAACCCTGTGCGGTTCCCAGCGGATGTGACCTTCAACAGTTGACAGAGCATATAGTTTGCTGCTGCGTCTGGAGGTAACGACTGCCAGGAGGAATGCCAGTTTGATGCTGCGATGGAGATCAGATGAATCAGAAACTGACGAGAACGTGCAAGATGCTCCCAAGGTCCCAAGACAGAATGAGACGTTTGATGTGAGGACGCTCAACAAACATTCCCCGAAAGAGATGGTGAATGGCAGCTTTACCAGAAACCCTTGATCCATCGCTGAACCCCGAATAAACAGCTGCCAAGGTCGACCGGCAGTCACGTCATAGATGCAGCATCAACAGAAAGGCCCAATGCACTGAAGGATCGTTGGACAATGTCCAACACGAGAAGTGAAGATCCCCCCGGTGCTAGATGGAGGACCCACAACTTGGGTTGATGAAGAATGTCCTCCCTGGGTAGAAGGACCAGTGGCCATTGTGCCAAAAGTTTTGTTAGTCTCAGAAACCATGGTTGGCGAGGCCAGAATGGGGCAATGAGGAGGACCCGACAGGGCACCCGTTCTATCTTGGACAGGACGCATGGGATATTGAAGGAAAGGCATACGCCGGAAGACCAAACCAGTCGAACTGTAGGGCGCCTGTCGCCCATGTCCGTGGGTGAGGGAATCTGGAGCAGAACTTCTGAAGATAGGTTTGCTGGTGTTGATCTCAACAAAGACATAGCTGACCACGTTTGGGTGAAGAATTCACCCTGTTGGTCAGACGGCACCCCGAGAGAGTGGGACTGCTATGCTGTTGTTAGTTCCTGCTATGTGGACAGCTTGGAGGGTGATCTCTTGTTTGTTCGTCCACATGAAGGGATGCCACACAAGGGTGCAGCGTTGAGGGGAGCGAGTGCCGCCAAGGCGGTTGATGTACATTGCTACTGTGGAGTTGTCACTCTGGACTTGAAAGGAACGACCTACTGGGTGCTGTTGAAAGTGGTGAAGAGCGTTAAACACCACTTGCGGCTCTAACTCATTGCTTTATTCGTCTTGAGAGGCGGTGTTCCGGATGCCAAAGGTATGGAGTGGAAGAGCCCACATGTAAATGAATAGATGCTGAAGTATTCATAATAAGGAAAGAAAGTGAGCACTGATACATTGTACTATGTTCGAGGTGGCTATTTGTATCCTGAAGTTGGAGGACTACGGCCATATCATTACGTGCACGGGGAATTAAGATCATTCAGTATGCACAGCAAAATACAAAAATTGCAAGATAGGAGCGACCGCAGATTGCAGACCGCTCCATAGCTAAGTACTTTAAAATGTCCAAAAACTGGACAGACCAATGCAGTGGCATAGGGGTGGAACTAAATATGAGTGGTAAATA